TTGAATCAGTATGGTTTATCACTGAGATTATGGTGTTCAATGTAAAAAAAATAACAAACAATTAACATTACAAACACTTGTACAAAGTGTAAAATCTTTAATACCATTATTTATATGATAAACCACAATAAATATACAAAATTTATAAAGAATATTCAAATATAAACTGAATGGATCAATTTTAATGATTGAAACGATGATGGTTAAACAAATTTAAGATAACTATGAAATTAAATATTTTGTAAGAAAAACGATCAATAAAAAATCTAGTTATCATTGATTCATTGTTACCATAATAGTAATATCATATTAAATGCATAAAAATTCATTCATTTACAAGTAACACTATTGTACACATATCAGTCATGATTTTTTATAACCGAAGACATAGATTTTTACAGAAATATTTTAGAATTTTACAGTTATTTGCCAATATGTTAAGTGAGTTGGTTAAGATTTATCAGTTATCTATTATTGGTTGCAACAAAAAACGTAGACACCGGTGAAACTCTTTGTAGAGCTCCTTAAAGGTCGTGTGCAGATATAATACAGAAACGGATGTGTAAACGAATAATAATGTATTTCTCTTTTCGAATAAAACAAGTGAGTTGATTTTCAACTATCATTTTAATTGGAGCATGATATATAATCACTGGTACAAAACAATACTGATTTTTTGCGTTGAGCAGTGAATTGTAGAAGAAGACAAAACGGGATCACGGGATGATATTTACTGATCATACACGAGATAGTGAATTGTAAATGAAATAAAAATGCTATATGGAAATTCAATCATTAAATTTTAAGAAAGTTGGTAATTCTCTATTTATTAGGAAATAGATTTTGTGGAGATTGTTCAGTTCCTAGAGCTCTATTGCAAAGCCCTGAATGGTAGGATTAAAGCATATCAGGTAAGAGACAGTCATCTACTTATGAGATTAATAATTTCTTACACAACTGCATGAATCAATATAAACTACACATGGAAATTATCAGTTATCAAGCCAATGGTATAAAGGTTAGGAGTTCTCGCCTCAAAGTAAGAGTCCTGAGTAATTTTCCGATTTGTATCATGGTCGCGTACTGCCATAAAGTCCAATGTTGAAACCGAAGACCTGACTTGCACTCCTTAATTTCAATGGTGGTCTACCAATGATTTTTGTTACAAAAACTCTCTATTTGTCCTATAAAACCATAAAAAACTGACTAATCGAAAGAATGTATACTTTATTTCATCACTTACTAGAATGAATGGTAATATAATTCAAAAACTAGACTTCATCACCGATCAAATAACTTCTATCATGTGTTCTTAAAAATGAATCTGTCCAACAGAAAATATCAAATTATAAAGATGAATATGAAATCCAGTTTAAAGCTCAAATGCCATGAATGCGGTGTCATTATTTTGATCAGGATAATATTCGACTGATGAGGCATTGTAACAAGAAGTATTATTAGAAATGTGAACTGTTTTAACTTGCTTTTCACTGTATGTATCGACTTTCCTTGACGAATTCTAAACACTAGACTTAGTGACTGGTAGAACTGTTGATAATGATAATCAGATTTCAACATGAAGATATATATGTAGGATGGTAGTAGTCTTAAAACCCGAAGGCTTCCTGCATAAACTGAGTTGCACATCGTTTATAAGTTTCAAACTAATGTGAAACAGTATTTTTCTGAAATACTTTAGCTGACGTAAATTTACGATAAACGTTAACTGATTTCCGTAGGTTACTTAGCTGGACAGAACATATCGACTAGAAAATCGATGACTCTTGTCTGAAGAGTGCATTTTTACTAGAATAGAAGTACTCTCTAAATCTGAATAACTTAATATAAATGAGCAAATTAGTAGTCAGATCATATCAAAAATTAGATGAATCATATAAGTTGATTACTGAATAGCTTAACAGTAGATTTTCATAACGTAAGGCTAAGTTGTAATTGTTAAAATCTAACCAAAAGTGCCAACTAGCACAAAAAAAAAGTCCTGGGCATTTTATTGAATAACTCCAACCACGTCATAATTCGCCTAGGAATCCATATACGTCTACATTAAAGTGCTTAAAATGTTCAAAAAAAATCCAGACAATCGCCAAACATTTTTTGATTAAGTCAGTGTAATTTCATACGTTAACTATAATACAACCTAAATATTAAAGTCCCCTGTAGCTTCAAAAGTTATAATAATCAGATTAACAGAATAAAAGTAAATTAATGAAGTCATTTTTTATCGTTATTTATTTATAGAAAACTAGCAAAAGGTTTTGGATAAAACTTGTAGATTAACTGACCAAGATTATAAGCATCTGTATGCAGATTATAGAGGATGGCACGAATAACTTTACGCAAATGCACACTAAGCTTGTGAAAATAAGGTTGTTATATGATTTATTAAATGATTTGAATAAATATGAGTAGATTGACGAAGAGTACATAATCAGTTTTTTCTTCTGTACATTCCTGTATAACAGAGGCAAACTGAAACTAAATACTGATAGTTGCTTTGAACTCATGTAATACTGTTGGTGAGTATTTAAAGGCTATTTTGCCGAAAACAGATAAATGCGCCCAAGACTTCCTACTTTTTTACTTTTATTTTAGCTGATATCTATTTCTGGTAAATAGTTGCCTTGAAACAAATGAAGTCACCAACTAACTAAAAAGCATTTGATTAATTTGCATCTAGCTCTGTTTAGAAAACCATCTATAACAACAAATTTGCCTACCGAGTCTACGGACAAAATAAAACTGTGTAATTTCACCTTTGTTACAAAGACCTTTAATAAATTTACTGGCGCTTATTGCCTAACAAGAAACTTCTTGACTGAAACTGTTTTATGACATTAAAAAACAAACATTTGTACGAAATTCTTGTATTCTAAACTATCACTTGCTATGTTAAGCCTGTGTTTATGCATTAATGTTTGGGAAAAATTCAAAGAGGAATATTGTCTAACAGTATTTATTATGATGGAAAATTTTGATATTATGAAAAATATTCAGTTATCGTATTATTGCATAATGAGGTGTAGGGTTTTCAAAATTTTGGTAGATGCAATCCAACAAGATGACATATGTCTTACATTATGGATATTAAACAAATTAAGTTTTGGTCCCTTTTTAGAAAAGATATGGATAGCTCAGAAATGCCGGTTTGTGCAAAATAAGTTACTTAAATTTAAATGATTTTTAATATTTCCTGGATAGATGTTAATTTCTCTCGGAAACTAGGTTAAAACTATCAATCCACTGAGCCAGTGGACTAAATTCAGTTTGTTTTTCACATACTGTAGAAGAGCATAAGAGAAACACATGAAAATATAATAGATATACTACACAAACTTGAACAAATATGTTAATACCATACATAAACTCACACGAATAAATACGAGTTTAGGTGAACATCTAAATGAAAAACTTGATATTTGAATAATAGACAAAGTTATGTTGTCGCATAGCCGTGTAATAATGTACAGGGGGAAACTGACACAATCAAATGATTAGGCATCGAGTTTTAATTTACGTACATTTAATCAATAAGTTGAGGTATTCAGTCTGTAATCAGTCATCTGAGTAAAAATAAGTACTAGCCTTCATTGATAACCATGATTTATCATATTATAGCTAAGCCGAATCTAAATAACTTACAGAACATCTGTGTGATGAGATACTCTATCAGTAATAACTACTTTTATTGTGTAAAGTTTTACTGTGTATTTTTGTACCATAAAGAATGAAAGAAAAGATGTGTATTTCTGAACGAACGGTGAAATAATCTGAAGTAAAATGTAACTTCTGGCTTTAAAGCGGGGAATATACCTTGTCACCTGCTTAAAAAAGGGTTGATAGTCAGATGTTTATAATGCTTCGCTATAACGCTGAATATTACAAATAAAATGATCATACATTGATAGGATTCCCTTGAAGTTGGAAATGAGCTACAATGTTTAGTAGTAAAAAAAGAAACTTCATCTTTCTTCTCTGTTACACTCCTTAAAGTCATGATTTTTTCCATTCTTAAATGGAAAGATATTTAGCTAGAAGTACATGATACTGCTACAAATCATCTTCAAAATTAGTTCATTGCATGTGAAGGTGTATTTAGATAACACTATACTAATGACTTTGGATTTTAGGCCTAGTAAGTATCTGACAGTAAATGTAAGTAAAAGCTACCCAATCTTCAAAGTATCAAATGCTCACGGTATAACTTCCTAAATCAGTGATGAGAGCCTATTTTGTATCACTATTTTTACATGATATAGAAGGATATTTCTAAGATAGTTAGTCAAATTGTGAAAAGTAATATGGAAGATATTTATAAAAAGTGTACTCATGTTTAAGGAAGTGTTTGTTGAACTTTCTTCATAGTCCTGATTATTTATGAGTGTAGTTTTCAAACAGTTATTATCCAAGATGTAGTTCAATAAGAAACTTTAAATTTTGACTATTATAGAAAAGAAACTTCGTAAACTGCTGGTCACTGTTCAAGTCTAAAACCTCGCGCACATAACTAAACCAATGAGCATTTCACAGAAAACAGATAAAAATGAAAGGAGGGCATAGGCAGACTACGTAAACCTCTTTTCCATCATTATATGTTGTTGTCTGGCCTATGCATTATTATACCTGTCATTTAGACATAAGAGCGATTTCGAATTCAAGATTAGTTATTCCAAATGATAGTTAGTGACTGTGGTGATGACTTACGTCGTTCAATTATTTGCTGATGTAACCCAACTAACAACCTAGATATACGATAGTGGATTTGAATTTCAATCTGATACAAAAGGACAAATTGCGGAGTCTGACTGTGGGTGTGAATTTCTTAAAATGACGAGAAGTTCAAAAGCTATATATAAACTCTAATTTTGGCTGATATGAATAGTCCGCAGAAGTATTTATAACCCTCATTTTATAACTTAAGCTGAATCTTAACTTCAATGACAAAACACAATAGAGTGAATATAAAAACATCACAAACAAACCGTGAGGTTGTATGAGATTGTTCATTGCAATCAATGGCTTCTATTTCCAAGATAAATGACGAAGCCTTCGTGATGTTTGATGTCACTTTTGGATCAACACGTAATTCAGCAAATCCATATTTTTGATCCAACAACTCAGCATAAAACATAGAGCTTTCAGGACCGTATATTTTGAAGCGACAAACTTTTCCTTAAAACGTTAAAAAATAATAATAAAAGATACCAAAATTGTCATTGGGCTTATCAGGAGCTGCTTGAATCCTTGGAATAACATGCACTACTGTTGCGTTAACCCATAAATATCCAACGTATATTTTTGGTTGACCACATGGAAATACGAACTCAATGCAGCTGCCGTACTGAAGTAAAACTAAGAGGGGGTCAAATATGTATGAACGTACTTTTTAAAGCAAAGAGAACAGCAAGAAGCATTTTGCCTCACGATAACAGGCATCCAGAGCTAAATCAAGGTAAAAAGAAACTGACAAAAATAATTCTGATTGATATATATAAACACGGTTGGAAAGCATGAGCAATACGAAATTACACATATGAAAGACAGGAAACATTTTAATGTTGCTAAATTCATTTGTATATTTTTTTTATCGTCATCTGCACGTACTTCACTGTCGTGAACAATATGAGTGGGGTACATAAACACGATCTAGGAGATGATGTTACTTGATTCATGTTTCGATTTGATAGTGTATGACTCCAGGGGTTATCGTAATTACTTTCGATGTCCTACTTTATGTATTTCGAAGGATAATTAACGCAATTTGTTCCAACATTCACTAATTGAAAACAATATAATTCTTTTTTAGTAGGGGTATTCAGCGTTGCATTTCTAAAATGCTTACAAACGATTAATAGTTCGCTTTATTGGTAATGCATATCGAGGCTGTCATGCTATCCAAAGCCTTCATATTCCTGGATGTCCTTTCGCATCTAAAAAGACTGATTTGAGAGGTTACCGTAAAGTAACAAAGTGGTTACATACGGCCGCACGCAAGCTGAGATAGTAGCTTGTGGGAAGTGTTAGGAATGATTGTTAAGTGATTACATCACTTTTATCTAACAGATCATTAATAAATATGACGAAGGGGTAGGGACCTCAGATGGTTTCCTGTAAATCTCCTAGTGTTGAGACTCGCCAGCTTGCAGGCATTCTACCCACCTCGGTATCAAAGACTTTGGTCTGAAGATAGTTCCTGAGCCAAGATAGAGAAGGAACAGTGAAGCTCAACTTGGAAACATTGGCAATAGGGAGTACTTGGGGTAGTGCATAGAAAGATTATGTAAAGTTAGGGAATATATATGAACCAGTAATTTTCGGTTCCAGTTGCCCCATGCTATGAAAAGACTGGATGCACATGGCCTACTTTTCCCAAACCTGTTTTGGACATCATGGTGGGAAATTTTCTTATCCTTATATACACCTATTAGCTGGCTCACCAGTCCTTATATTAACTTTGATATAATCGGTAGTAATACGATTGGTTTTTAACAGGTTAGATATTTCGTATCTCCGCCTTGGAAGATTAGAGGGAAAATAGTTTGTTTTCATCCAGCTTGGAGTACATGTGATTCCAGTGAATGTTTGAACCGATCACATACCGGGGAACTGCGTGATTTCACAGAGTGTCAAGGTTATTTGGCGAATATCGCCATAACCCTGTGACTTTCCTAGGCAAAGAGATTTAAAACAATTAGTCCCTTTTATAAATTTTGATAGAACAGTGAGAAGACGTAATTGATCTGAAAAATGTGATGTATTTGCGCTGTACATTTCGAACAATCTGGTCACACATATTTACTTGTCAAGGCATTTTATATGAAGATGAATAAAAGGTCAATTAAATAAAAGTTCAAATAGACAGGGTGATAATTGTAAATAAAGAAGAGAGAAAATTAACGTAATATGAAAAGAATAAGAAAGGGTAGGAAAATTGTCACATTACCCTAGTCTTAGAGATCACCAAGGTAAATTCAAGGTTATGACAAATTGTTTCTGCACACAGAAGAGGGATTTTAATTTTCTAATAGCCAAGACATCCATAAACCTCAAAATTCGTCAGATGAGCCGATTAGCGTTGGAAATAGAAAACCATGTTCATCGATCGCCAAACACATGATTGAGACAGGGCATAAGATTGGCATCAAGACAGCCTTCAAAACATTGTATAGAAATGTTGAAGGACGAATTTTGAGGTTTATGGAGGCCTTGGCTATTAGAAAATTAAAACCCCCTTTATGTGTGCAGAAACAATTTGTCATAACCTTGAATTTACCTTGGTAATCTTTAAGCCTAGGGTAATGTGACAATTTTCCTACCCCTTCTTATTCTTTTCATATTACGTTAATTTTCTCTCTCCTTTATTTACAATTATCACCCTATGTCTATTTGAACTTTTATTTAATTGACCTTTTATTCATCTTCATATAAAATGCCTTGACAAGTAAATATGTGTGACCAGATTGTTCGAAATGTATAGCGCAAATACATCACATTTTTCAGATCAATTACGTCTTCTCACTGTTCTATCAAAAGAGATTTAAGTTTCTTATCACTAAGCCAGGATTAAGTAGGATGTTCCCTTGTCCATCAGTTGGTGTTGGGTTTGAGGTTGGCACTAAGGACCTCAGCTTTTTTTTGAGTTCGTAAAATTTTCGACAGTCGGACATTTGAGAGCATAAACACCTTGGTTTGCAGGTTTGATTATAGTTACGAAGCGGAAGAGGTATTTCGGGTTCGCCTGTATTTTGGCAGCTGGCTTCATTTGAAATTGTTTCCTGTTGCTTTGGACCTTGGGATTACATAAAGAATTACTATCAGAAATCTCCAAAGAGACCTTCCACTTGTTTCAGGCTCTCTTTTTCACCTGTAGATAGCGTTTGGTGTCTCATTCAAGTCATGATTTTCTCTCCAGGGGCGTGAATTTCCTGAAGTCTGTTTTGTAGGACAGCATTATGAATGATGTATCATATCTTATCAGTGATCCTTTACTATTAGCTTGACTATTTCCGTGGCCATGAAGGGTTTAAAAGATGCTCTCTCACGGTCGTGTAATCGATTTTAATGTAATAAAGATAGGACTCGTCTTTGTCCCTCTCGAATATTTCGATTATGAAAATGTTAAATTTGTCTGCACCATGGTATGTGGACATGTTCATCCTCGACCAGAATGTTAACAAATAATCCAGTTTTGTGGGTTTAATCCTAAATCTGTGGGAACTGGCTGCTGCAGGTGTTCTGCTTGTGTAACGCATTCAATCGCCAAGGCTATAATCTTCGTGCCTTGTTTGCGTGTTGTCGATCGAGTTCGACTGACAATAGTGTGTGCTTATTTTGGCCTCCTTTTTATTGTCACACAAATGTTAGACGACTCTCGCAAAGGAGAGATTGTTGTACAAGCTCTATTAAGCCTGAAGCGCCCCCAAATAATACATTCTAATTTCTGAAGTTCACAGCCATCACCTAAAACTGTGTCTATCTTACACGAAGCGGAAAACATTTATTTCACGCAGTATTGAGATCTGCATTTCGGATATACCGAAAAGTCTGCGAAAGGAATAAATGATAAACTCTCACATTTTCATGTGGTTCCATACAGTAAAAACCGTAATTTCTTAAGTCGATCAGATCTTCGAAGTCTCTATAGCTTCTTTCTCCGGAGAATCTGCTGTCACCAAAACTTCAAAAAAAAAACTAGAATTTGGTGTCACCAATATGAATTACTATTGCTGTTCATCTGTCCTTGCCTTCCGCCCTAAGGGGTATTAAAGATGTAAGCATAACGGCCATCAAGAAGGCTGAATAATCTGGAGAAAATGAGGACGAAACACAGGTAAAAATTTGTCGACAGGTTGCAGAAGTGAATAGTTTTTTCTGCGTAACAAGACCTTCAAAGGCAATGTACATAAGTAAATAAATGAATAAATAATTGCCTAGTTATAACACAGTAGATTCATGAAGTTTTCACACCAATCAATATTCACTTACAATTATAGGTTAAATAAATAAGATAATAACTTTGAAGGGGTTAACAAATCTATTGAATCAGTATGAAATTTAAACTCAGCTGTTCACAAAGATAATGAAACAAAATTTTGAACATGTACCTGAGCGAGGTGTCCGCGAAATTACTGGTTATGAAGACTGAACATGAAGGGGTTCATTACAAACTGTGACCTTTTTGAACATAGGTAATAATTATATGAAGTACATGATGTAATTTAGAAACATCACGCCTTGTCTCCTGCTGAAAAATGGTTCTGAAAAATGGGAGGGCAAAATAATAATAATAATAATAATAATTTATTCTCAAATAACTAAGTTACAAGAGTCACGCCAGTTTACAGGCTAAATCAAATTGTCACAAATGCTTCTGCAATTACTGTAAAAGTTATAGCAGTTAAATTAAGTATAAGAGACAGTTTCTGATTGCATATTTACACCATATCACTGACAGAAACAGTATTATACAGCCACATTTTCAATATTAGAGTACAAATAAGGAAGGAAGATGCACAATAGGTTCTTTTGGCGATTGGCCGAGATCAATAGTGAATTTGTTGGGAAAGGTCATATGGAACGCGCTTGATACGAGCTGTGATCCAGACAGTCATGTACATTGGGTGCATGTTCCCTAGAGTTGCCAAGGATTTCCCACCGTGAATGGGGTTCTGAAAAGGAGAAGAGAGAGAGGAAAAGGCAGCAGTGTGGCAAGTGTATATATATAACCAAAGCACTACTTAACCTGTCATGTTAAAGTAGTCAATACAGTAGTAAGTCAAGATAACATTCATACTGACCACTTAAATTAAAGTAAATTATGGGAATATAAGAATATAACACACAGATAAAGGAGTACAGCAAAAAGAAGGAAGAGTTGTGCAGTGTCAGGTGGATAGAAGAGAAGTCGAAGTAAGAAGCTGGATTTATGTACGTTGAAATCGAAATTCTAGTTAAAAGAGTAGAGTTTGTAAAAATAAATATTTGACGAATAAAATCTCGCACTGTCTAACTGTTTTTTTTCTTTATTATTGAATGCCAACCTCTAAGTCATACTGTAAGCGCCTGAGTAAGAATGTTGCAGGGGTCTCGACAGAATAGCGACCTCAGCATAGTTTTGGAAACATGAACCACAGAAGTAGCAAGCGTATAAGAGCAACCTCAGTGTTACTGATTAGTCGTCTCATCAATCTAAAGAGCCGAAAGCAAACAAAATCTTCTGCCCCACAAACATGGGTTGTTTGAAGTTATCGCCCATACCATCAATGTTTGCTGGTCAGTAACTCCACCAACAATGAATTGTTTGGGTTGACAGCTGAAAAATTTAGGTTTTGGGCATTAAAAGCGCAGATGCGCTCAGCCAGGAGAAGAAACTGAAACTATTAGATCAGAAAGTCGTTGAACAATCTGAAGAATAGTTACAGAAAAAATGTGCAGCATATAAAGAATGGCAGGGAGCGGCAGGACGGAGATAAAAAGTTTAAAGTTGATGAGAAAGGAGTTCAAGTGACGTCCGAAATTTTTTTTGTGTACTTACATCAGTAGTTACTGCTAACTGCCCATATATGTTTTTAACAACAATTTTCCACCCTTTCGATGTTATTCTTTTTTCCTCTCTCGTGAATACTTTTATCCTATCTCGAAAGAGTCTACCCCTACTGGCTATCAAGAATTCAGTGTCACAATTATTTTGATTGTAATTTTACGAGGAGGTTTACTACCAGAAGGAGCTTATTTTCGTCGTTTTATATCGTCAGCTGAAAAGAGATCCTTTTTACACTATCTGTGAAGAATTAGAACAGTTGGCAATAATCATTTCTAACTTCGATAAGCATGCATTTACAAATACTTAAAGGGTACTACTAATCAGAAGCGAGGGCAGTTATAATTTAGGATGTTTCCTGGCTCGTGAATGGTATGAAATATGCTCTTTGGTGTAAAAAAAATTCAAAGAAACTGTGGAACAAACAGGCAACTGGAGGAATATTTTTACATTACATTCGGTACAACATGTTAGCATACTGAGGCCACTTACTGTGAGAGAATCCATGACAGGATTACTGAGGTCATTTTACAATCTCTAGCAAGCATTGAGGTACTATCCTGTTACGGGAGAAATGAAGACATTTGGCTGATCAAAACCTTTATATAAATATCATTAATTTCACTGTGTTTTTTGGGTATATTTGTTTTACTTAACTTATGAACTTGTTTGATTTATTATTTTCGGCCATTTTAATTCCTGTTTGTTTTGGTTTGGTCATTCGGAGTTTTTGCTCCAGGAACCTATAAAATTGAAGGTAATTATTGTTGTTAGAAAGACATTGGTCGACTATTTGTAAATTGACAAACGACATTTCGGTCAACTATTTGTAAATTATGAATAAACTTTGGTATCTAACTTTGGAGTTTGGTTTTGTTGTTAATTTGGGTTCGTGAATTGCAAATAGATCGACATACTGTACTTCAATAACGGAAAGGAGCAAAGCTTGGACGTAACACTATCCCAACCAGTGGAAAATCATTCTGTCTTCTGCTAAAATGAAAAATTCATGGGTGACCAGATATATTGTCGGAAAGATTCAACAGATGCCGACACAACTTTATAATTATCTTTTTTTATACATCCTGATTTATGTTGTTGTTGTCTAGTGCAAAGGCTTAAGTGAAGAGATGAGGTTCTAAATTAACTTGTTGTGGCCTCTCTTGAAAGGATAGTGAATCCAAGAAGGTTACGCATAAATTATATTCTGGTCTGTTTTAAAGTACGTACAAGTAATATAATCATAGATTGAAAAGAAAAAAGAAGCCAAAGACTTGTTCCAGGAACTAAAGATTACTCGTGATTAATGGTAGATCGGTAAAAATATGTCCTTCTAAAAATGAATATGGCAGAATTAACGGCAAACCTTGGATGTTTTGGTTCCCAGTGAATTCCAGAATTTTCGAGCCAAATAAGTCCTTTGCATGTTATCCATCTGCCGTTCATTCATTCATTTTTTCTGTTTGCTATACTCGAACAGCAGTGACTTGAATCAAACATTATTGTTTCTAATTTTCTATCATTTTAAACTTAAACAACCAATGTTCTTAATAAAATCATACGCTAATTACTTCTGTACTAAAATTAGAAAGCTGAAAGCACTGAACGACCAAATCAATCCAGTGTGGACAAGTGAACAGTAATAATTGTTAGTCCCGCAAGAAGGAACCGATTTATGACCCTCAGTCTGGCAGACAGGCGGATAGTTAATGTTGTTCAAATATCACTAGCCAGCTGATAATTCATAGATACCTCGATTTTCCTTGAATGTAGTAAGATTTTCTTGTATATATGGGTTTGAGCGATTGCGGTAACAGTGAGGCAGTTGATAAACGCTAATTTATAAAAGTGAGAACCACAGTAAAAAGAACTGCTTGTAATAAAGTTCTAGGTCAAGATTGTTAACTGGCAGTTCTTCCAAAGTAATCATCAAAACCATTGTCCACACACTGGGCGAATTGTGCGTATTTCGCGCCAACTATATGAGGCGCAGTATGAGGTGAATGGTGATGTAAATCAATAAATCTATTAGCGGAATAATGGTCTGAAATATTCTGGTAAAGCATTTCACCCATATTAGAAATCTTGGCCTATAAACTGAAACTGGGAATGACGTAAGCAGACATACATTTCAGTACCAGAAAAAGAAATATGGCATCAGATAACTGAATATTAAAAACTGTTATAAAAGAGTAAAAAGTTTTAATGCAGGTGTGGATAAATATATCCAGTCACAAAAAAGACGAAATGTTATATTCATCTATTATTACAAACTAAGTCGAGTTATATTTATAAATGTGATTATGAGACAACCGAAAATCAATAAACTTCTCTTCCTTCTCCAATTTTGCAGTGAAGTTACGTGATATGAATATGTGCGTCAAAGCAGTTTCTCTTATCTGTACTATGAACAATACGCTTATTTGACCTTGAGCGTGTTTAATTATATGGGATCCCCTCGATGTTACAGAGTAATGAAAAAGCGCTGTTTTCGAGGTTTCGGTTGTCTTCGATCATCTGATGATGTAGGTATTAGTATGTTAGCTTATGCCTTTTGACACTCCGCTTCTAAATTATAATAAATATTTATATTCAATGTTCACCATATTATGTAATTCGAGGTTGATTCTTGTGCCTAATATGGGTACTTTGTAAACCAGGTACAACTGGTTGAATAGAGTAATTTACCATAGAAATAGAAACAGAATATTTCTCGACAGAGTGTTCTGTTAGACTTCAATGGCTTTTGTTGATATGTGGTGTTTCATCATAAGATCAAGATTGCATGTATCATCGTGCACGACTGTGATCTTACGGTATATATAGATATCGATTATAATTTATATATTATTTGTTATCATACTGAATTATGTTTTATCTTTCTTTCGAACTACTCTTTATCAAACGAAAGACTTGGTTGGGTGAATGAAACCCCTTTCCGATTGAAACTGAAGTAGTGTCGCTTCACATGTCAATGAAAAATTATACTTTACAGTATTCGAGATAAACCAACGCAGACTAACGATCTGTTTCGATTTATCATAGTGTAAATCATTTTTTAACTCATTTTCTCAGTATTATGCGATTGAGTTAACTGGTTAAATTACCACAAAAGGCCGCCTCAGAATGTATTATTCAACCACTTTTGTTACACTTAAGAAAATGATGGAATGTTAACCAGTGAACAAGTTTGGGGTTCTAATTTAAAAGGATATGTGCAGAAACCAGACTTATAGAGTTATAATTTGATGCTATGGCACATAGTCAGCTGCAATGGCACGTTTCGGAACTTAATAAATAGTTGAATAAATTTGACCAGGAAAAATGATTTAAACCATGAAGAAAATATCAGCGAGTGATTTTGAACAAACGCTAGTTTGTTTCGAAAGGAAGAAAATAACAAGAACCTAATTGTCCCTTACTGAAGGATACTTTGGTCCGATTGGTGAGACATAGTAAATAGTGCAGTTTTTCATGATTGTGAGCAGTCGTGAGCCATATCAGTAGCAGTTAGTAAATTCAAGAAGATAGCTGAAATTAATTATCACGTGAGCTTAAAATACGAGTAAATTTTGAAAGTTAATGGTAATTGAGATAGAGATTAGTCTATGTTGTCTGACCCGGTCTAATATGAGAACATTCCATAACCATCTTAGCTCTTAGGTTGCCAGACAAGAGATAATTTTCAATCTATACATCATTACCTTTCTTATACGTCCATAAAAATTCCTAGTTTGCCTTTAAAACACAACAGTAAAAATAGGTAGACAGTGTACTGTAGTTTTCTCTACTTTAAGATAACACCTCAACAATCATACTTTTAAATTAAAAGCATATATTTCTTCCAAGGATCTATTCATTAGCGTCAAATAATTTGAGCAATACTTGGAAAATACCGATTGAATTTCACACGTAGCCTAATGCTAACAAACTGTACATTTTCTGAAATAGTGAGAAAGGCTAATTTAATGACATTTGATTCTATTAATAGAGAGTGAGCGTATTGCCGAGTAATTTTCTCCGTTATGCTATGTGGTTGACCTGAGGCTTATTCCAATTTTTAATTTTTACCGCATATATTCCATCATGAATCATATTAACCGATAGTTATTCTTTGTCACCTTCACCGATACTGCTACTGTTTTGACAATTTACAGCTGACACTGTTTACTCATCGCACTGTGCTGCTGTGGCTTTGAAAAAAATAGACGATTTTCTCTATACTTAAAAGTCATGTGAGACCTTGCCGAAAAAGACTTATTTCTGCTCTTCGGTTTGTTTTAAAGATTTATTTAAGAGAAAACAGCCTATAAAATTTCTGAAATTATAAGTCAGTCAGCTACAATGTAGAACTTTGTACGTACGTTCAAGTTGTCAGACCACATTAGTACAGAAATCTAATTGTCAATTCACACCTCATAGTAGTGGGGGTTGTCACAATATTAGCGTTAATGGAAAAGATTGGGGTTCGAAGAAATTATTCACGAAGTATAATCCTATGAAATAAACTTATAAGAGATAAGTAAAGGTCATGAGGTTATGAGAGAAGACAAAAAATGGATGCGTCTGCACCATTGCTAACGATTTTGGGCCATATCATTCAAAGTCTCTAACTATCGTTTACTATTGGCTCGCCGACCTAACGACGTAGCTGCTATGATTTGGTTCGGACGCCCCTAGCACTCTTTCATCCTACTCATACGTAACACATGTCCCAACCACGTCAACTGATAAAGTTCCAATAATTTATCCCTACCTAGTAGTCGTTTCCTAACTATGGCATTGCTCACTCGATTGCCTCACGATACTCAAGTAGTGATTCGAAGACATCTTTCATCGAGTAATGATCACCTACGAATATGTTTTACTCTTAGTAGCTTCATTAGCTAGGATTCTGGAATCTCGCGCTATCGATGTATGCTGCGTCTCGGAAAGGCGCATGCAGGATTCCAGTAAAGTCATTAACCTGATTTCACCTTGTCAAAACAAAGAAGCAGCCCGATTTACCCTTCGTGTATCCGGTAGCCCTGATGCTGCTTCCCGGTGTCTCTCTGGCGTACGTACAGCATTAAGTCCTAATGCAGAACTAGCTCTCTAAGACTGGATCCCAGTAGACAGTTGCCTGTGCGCTGTCCCACTAAATGAGTCAGTAACGACTCGGAAAGATAGGGATACTCGCCGTTGCTTCTTAGTTGTCTCTGCCTATATGGTAATAGTGGCTGGTGACTTCAATGCTCAAGTAGGTAGACTAAGCGATAAGGGAAGACACCTGGGTGGATCTTATTGTGTTTCACATGAAAATGGTTTCATAATCCAATAAATGTGAAGACTATAAGTTAGTAAGTAGTATGTTCTCTCCTAGCTTTCATTCACAATATATTTAGGTTTTAAAAAACGTATAAAGTGTACCATGACTCATTTTGTTTGCAAAATCGTACTACAGTGATTTAGGCCTACATTATTTTTGCCATCAGTACTGACTGGTGATTCCAAAGTCAAGTAATTCAAGTTGAATTATATCTATTTAAAAAATCAATTCGATTTTTATGAAGTCTGTGCATTTAGAATTAAATTTTCAAAGTCGAATTGGGGTTTTTAGTTTTATGTGTAAGTTGTTTATAGTTCTACTAAAATATGAAAGATTAGTTGCTATAGTTTTTGTCAAACATTAGAAGTTAAACCTTTAAATGAGATATCTCTAATAATCAGATATCATGGATACAAATAAAATGTGAAAGCCGGCTAAATGTTCAACATAGAATCGATGGTGAATAGTATCTTGTGTAAAACTACAGTGTAATGTACATAACTATGTTGATATAGATGTTTTGTTTTCTGTTGCTTTGGCCAAATTTCAATCAACAGATATTTTAATTCGAGATTGAAGAACATTCTTTTAATCATGCAGGATCGTATGACTGTGGAGTCCTTATCACATACTTTCCGTCAATAGATTCAGTGGCTTTATGATCCTTTCTTGCACATAACCATAAGTTCGTTTTTGTTATTCATGCAAAGAAGATAAGTCGTTAAAATTGAAGTACGTTTTGTAATAGAATTACATTATGTTAATCTGGGGAAGACTGTGGTTTCTGCAATAAAGCTAGGATTAAAGCATAAGCTCTTTATGATCACAGATGCTCACCAAAGGATTTGAAGATTCTAATGCGAGACCTAAATGCCAAGGTCAGCATGGACAACGCTGGATATGAAGACATCATGCGACCACATGGGCCGCGAGAAAGGAACGAAAACGGTGAGAGACTTGCAAACCTATGTGCCTTCAACAAACTAGTCATCGGCGGCATAATATTCATACACAAACGCATACACAAAGCAACACAGATTTCACCTGATGACACTACTCAGAACCGAATCGACCATATCTGTATCAATAAAAAGTTCAGAAGGACCATGGAGGATGTGAGAACCAAGAGAGGAGCTGACATAGCATCAGATCACCACTTGCTGGTCGCAAAAACGAAACTGAAACTAAAGAAGCACTGGACAACCTGGCAGACAACATCACACAAGTTTAGTACGGCCTTTCTTCGGGACATCGTAAAACTCAACGAATTCAAGATGGCCCTCAGCAATAAGTTCCAGGCCTTGCAGGATATACTCAATGGAAAGGAAACAACCTCGGAGAACAATTGGAAAGAGGCAATCACTTCAACATGTCAAAAAGTTCTGGGTCACAAGAAGCACCATCACAAGGAATGGATCTCTGTTGATACTCTTGCAAAAATTGAAGAAAGGAGGAACAAGAGGGCAGCAATCAATGTCAGCCGAACAAGAGCAGAGAAAGTTAAGGCACAAGCTGCATACACAGAAGCATACAGCAAAGTGAAGAAGAGCATCAGAGCCGACAAACGAAAATATGTGGAAGATTTAGCAATAACGGTGGAAAAGGCTGCAAGAGAAGGAAACATGAGACAATTGTACGATACAACAAAGAAGCTCACCGGAAACTATCGTAAACCAGAACGACCAGTGAAAAGCAAGCAACGCAGAATAATCAGCAACACTGAAGAACAGCGAATCAGGTGGGTAGAGCACTTTAAGGAACTCTTGAATTGACCAGCTCCATTGAACACACTCAACATCAAAGCAGCATCTCCGGACCTCCCAATCGATGACGGGGCACCTACAATTGAACAGATCAGCATGCTATTCGACAAATCAAGGACGGTAAAGCGTCAGGACCAGACAACATTCAAGCAGAGGCATGAAAGCAGACGTGGAAGCAACTGCAAAAATATTTCAAATTCTCTTCAAGAAGGTTTGGGATGAGGAACAAGTACCATCAGTTTGGAAAGAAGGATACCTGATCAAAATACCAAAGAAAGGCGATCTCAGCAAGTGTGAGAACTACAGAGGCATCACTCTTCTCTCAATACCAGGCAAAGTCTTCAACAGGGTATATTTAAACAGAATGAAGGACTTCGTAGACTCCAAACTACGAGACGAACAGGCTGGATTTCGTAAGGATCGATCATGTATCGACCGAATCGCAACATTACGGATCATTGTGGAGCAATCAATTGAATGGAACTCACCACTCTACATCAACTTCATCGACTACGAGAAAGCATTTGATAGCGTGGACAGGAAAACACTGTGGAGGCTTCTTCGACACTACGTTGTGCCTGAGAAAATAGTCAATATCATACGGAATTCTTATGATGTATTAAACTGCAAAATCGTGCACGGAGATCAGCTGACGGACTGGTTCGAGGTAAAGACCGGTATCAGGCAAGGTTGCTTACTCTCACCCTTTCTCTTTCTCCCGGTCATCGACTGGATTATGAAGACGTCAGCATATGGAGGGAAGCACGGTATTCAGTGGACAGCTAGGACGCAGCTGGACGATCTGGACTTCGCAGATGACCTGGCTCTTCTATCGCACACGCAACAACAAATGCAAGAGAAGACGACCAGTGTAGCAGCAGCCTCAGCAGCAGTAGGTCTCAACATACATAAAGGGAAAAGCAAAATTCTCCGATGCAACACAACATGCACCAACCAAATCACGCTTGATAGAGATTCTTTGGAGGAAGTTGACACCTTTACATATCTGGGCAGCATCATCGACAATCAAGGTGGATCGGATGCAGATGTGAGGACGCGGATTGGCAAAGCAAGGGCTGCATTTCTACAGTTGAAAAATATCTGGAACTCCAAACAACTTCTAGCCAAAACAAAAATCAGGATTTTTAATACAAATGTGAAGACAGTTCTACTGTATGGAGCGGAAACTTGGAGAACTACCAAAGCCATCATCCAGAAGATACAAGTATTTATGAACAGTTGTCTTCGCAAAATACTTCGGATTCGTTGGCCAGACACTATCAGCAACAACGTACTGTGGGAGAGAACAAACCAGATTCCAGTGGAGAAGGAAATGAGGAAGAAGCGGTGGAAGTGGATAGGACATACACTACGAAAAGCATCTAACTGCTTCACAAGACAAGCCCTCACATGGAACCCTCAAGGCAAAAGGAAAAGAGGAAGACCAAGGAACACATTAAGCCGAGAAATAGAGAAAGATATGAGAGGAATGAACAAACATTGGACAGAACTGGAGAGGGAAGCCCAGGGCAGAGTTGGTTGGAGAAAACTGGTGAGCGGCCTATGCTCCGTTGGGGGTAACAGGCGTAAGTAAAGTAAGTAAGTAAGTAAGTCTGTATTATCAGTCTGTCAAATTACTTAGCAATAAAAGTTTCTTCTTGACACAGATCCAGTAACGTGTTGTAATACAAAATGAAGCTGCTGTTCTCTTTTCCATAATGTTAACTATCTGTTTAAAATGATTTCAGTTCACAATGAAAACTATCTCTCCAATAGCACAGTAAGAACATACAGTAAGAAATGACCACAATTCTCGTACAATTCACAAACCATAATTGTAGAAGTTGGTAGCCAGAGTACATCTTTTTAAGTAAGCTTCGTTCTGGATGGTTTAGTCATCGAACTTTTACTATTCTTATAAATTATAGCATCAACATAAACTGCAAATTGAAGTAAAGGATTGGAATTTCTCCACATATGACTGACAGCTTATACTGTTAACCTTGGTACTGATTGGTTATTTTTGACCCGTCATTGTTTGCCCTTTAATCTGACCCTTGCTCCTAAATTTGCCCATGATTTTTATGGCTATTTGATTAGTTTGATCTTTTTTGATGTTTTTATTGATTGCTGAACTAACTAAGTATCGAGTTTCTAAACGTTCTCCAATGGTCTTGGTATTATCTCTATCCAAGATTTTTAGATTTTTACAGTCGAATGTGTTTCCAAAATCGTTCACGTGTGTTGTTGACATAAGCGAAGATATATCAATGTGTTGAAGTGATCTTGCTGGTTTTTGTGCTGCACCCATTCCAAACGGGTTTAATAATCTCGTAATTTCTGATTCGTATATTATGTGATGAGAAGCAGGGATAGGATTTCCTTTACCAAGTTTGTTTCGATTGAAGTGAATAGGGCTGGCGGGTTGAAGGATATCATCAGTTTGTCTTTGTCGATTTCAATTTCCTTTATCTTATCCAATAATTGTGTAAGAGACTTAGTGGAGTAATTGGATGGATTCACATTGGTGAAACCATCCAACTCAAAGAACAAAGCTCTACCAAAATCATCAACGTGAGCTACAAATCATCATCACAGTATATTTTTCTACAGTCTAAACAGGCCTTATTGATTTTAGGTAACTACTGGCATCCGAAAGAAGTTGGTAATTGTTGGTGATGGAGCCTGTGGGAAAACATGCTTACTCATTGTTTTCAGCAAAGATCAATTTCCAGAAGTTTATGTCCCAACAGTATTTGAAAACTATGTCGCTGATATTGAGGTTGACAATAAACAAATTGAACTAGCTTTATGGGATACAGCTGGTCAAGAGGATTATGATCGCCTCCGCCCATTATCCTATCCAGACACTGATGTAATTTTGATGTGTTATTCCATTGACAGGTAAGATTATTCTAACAGTTTAATTTTATTCCGTTCACTGTGGAGTATAATTTAACTGTGTATTAATTGGACCTTTTGGCTGGATATGAAAGCTATAATGTAATCATGTGCTCTGATTGTCTGCCAACTAACTGAAACTCAAAATAAGTTATAAAATTACTTATGCGTAAAATTTTCATAAAGTAACATTTGGAAGAAAGTTTCGAATGTAGGGTCCACGACATGGTTGTGCTTATTTTTCAACTCTACTGCAAGTTCACTGAACTTTAGGAAACATTTCGGTAATTAATGTGGTTCAAAATAGCACAATATTACGATGTTTGCCAGGTCTTACAAATTCATTTTAACCAACTTTTTGAGATTGATAATTTATGTATAAATGTTTTGTTCTCCTAATAAGTTGTTTCGGTTTTCAAATCTAGAATTTGGTGACTTGTTTAAAAATATTCCTCGTTCTAGAAATGAAACCTTTTAAACACTACCGATTCGCATCATCCGTAGATGCAATATGCCTGAAAGAGCTAATACATCTCATGTTGATTTCTGGCAATGTTGCTAGCTAGAAAATCATATAAATGCTCCCAATTTTCAATTCAGACTTACGTATGTATTCGCTTGCTGAATTAAATAATTTCCTTTAATGGAAGGAGGAACAAATAGGGATATAATAGGTGAAAACCTATTAACTTGATACTTTTATGCCATACAAGTAAATGAAAGTAAGCAATTGTCCTACTACACGATTCGTTTAAGTAGTTAGTTCCCCAGTTACTAATTGTTGAATCTTTGGTAAATTTGATTAAGATCGATGTTTAGTTATTTACCTATATTCAATTTCTCAACAGTGGCATAAATGGTATGAACAGAAATTCCTCGGAAATAACGTAGTTGACATTTAGCTTAAACAATGAGAAAAGCATTGCTTCGAAATTCGTGTATTAGTAAATTAGCTAGTCAGTGAGAAATATGTCAACGTAACTTGCTTTTTGTGTTTATAGTCACTTTATTACAGAGTATTCAAACATTCCATATAATATTACGTTTTAAATTAACTTAAAAGGAACGCTTTTTGCTTGCTCCTCTTGATCTTATAAATAGTCCTGATAGTTTGTCTAATATCAAAGAGAAATGGATACAAGAAGTTAGACATTTTTGTCCACACGTACCAATCGTATTGGTTGGTAACAAAAGTGATCTCAGATATGACGATAAAGTTATCAATGAACTTGCCCGTTTAGGTCAACATCCAGTTACATCCGAAGAAGCAAAGGCAGTATCCACTTATATTGGTAGGTTAACTATTATTTAAAATTTGTTTATCCATTGTTTCAGCGTTTATTCAAGTCTACGTTAGTTAATTAGTAATTAATACAAGCTTGAATACTGGAGATTTGTTAATCTATAATCCACAAAGTGTATTGACAAATTTTATTGGTTTATTATATTTACAAAAGCTCATATGTATCTTATAAGTAATCTTTAAATTAAAAAGGATTAAATTATCATTCGTTTGTTGTTGATAGGAATTTGTTACTTCTATCGATATCCATTGTCATAAATCCACCAGAGTTTAATGTTTTACATCAGAACGAATGGAAATTTCTTTGCCTCGTTGATTATCACCAGGAGAAATCAATAATGATGACTAAAAAACAAATCGAGCCGTATCTGTTTTACTCAAAAACATTTATGCTTATTAATCATATGTAGTCACTTTAATCTTATTTAAGTATTACAATCATTCTGTTAAAGTTTCGTTTCATCGAAAAACATGCTTTTATCATATTAATTCATATTAAAATCACTAAAGAGTAATGATGAAACATAATAAACGCAGATTAATTTGTCAATATGTAGTTTACATCTAGACTATATGGTCAGTGACTTTTTAACTGGGGTCATATCAATATATACAGTTATCTTGGCTGTGTAATCACAAGATAATTTGTTGACTTGGCCCATTTATCAGGAACTGATTTTCAACCACTCTGGAATTATTAGAAAGGTAGCTAGCTGTCTGTGAATGTATTATAATCGATGCACTTCTACAAATATTAATTACGTCTATTTGTTTTTGTTATTTATTGATCTATTTCATCAGTGACTAGTTTTAGTATATGACCACTGTAAAAGCTACTTATAATGTTACATTGTATGTATTTCAACTGTGTACCAGTGTACTCACGCAATGAAAATTGCAAGTTGTTAGTTGAAAATTAATTCTTGAAGTTATCTCAGATAAATAAATAGATTGAATAATGGGACATTTTTGAATGGTAGTGACAATTTGCGATGAAGTTTTTATTGGTCGAAACAAATATTACCCTCTAATTGATAGTTTATGGTATTTAACACTTTCTTATCACTAATTGAATTGTTTAACTCACAATCTAATTTATATCCTGAAGGTCCTATCTTCCAAAATTCCTCTTCCAGTTCTTTCACTTGCCGCTTACGACGGTTGAAGATTTCTTACAAGAAACCCGTACACTTAACTTAAAATCATGGAATTATCTCCACTAATAATAATAGGCAACCATTGGAATAGATGAATGAATGTTCATATTTATTCATAGAATTGTTCATTAATAATAGCTAGTTCACTCTATAGATTCATCAATTTGTTCGTAAGTTAGGAATGGATAGCATTTGATCTGGTACAAATTTACATCATTTCAAATCACCACATATCACATTACCACTTCAAAGGAAGACAGTTACGTGATGAGAAACAGACAATAGATAAGATCGATTGTCCTATGTATTCAAAAAACTGAAACATAAATAATATAATTCAATAGATGTGATTCATATCGGATCATTAGGAATTAAGAACTAACAACAAACTTAATAAAAATGCATCTGCATCACTGATGTTAATTTCGACCAAGACATTTTGTGTGTTCAACCATAGATTATGCTTATCCTATATCTTTCAACTTGGAAATATGCGCTCTTAATTATCAGTGTCATGTGTCATACTAGATGATAGCTAGATAATTTGTTATACATATCTCATGCACTGATAATTATGAAATTTCTTAATTTAGTCAATGAATTCATTATGCATAGCTAAAGTTCTGTACCTATTTATAGATTTTTCTTTACTCTTTCGTTTTAACTATTAAAATGAATAAAAACAATATAGTTGATGAATTGATTAATTGATCAATCAATATGTATTAATTTCATTTTTGAATCAATTGTTATAAGAACAATAATAATAAAAAAAAGCCAATTAATCATTGTGAATACTTGCAAAGAAAAAATGATTTATTTGAAATAATAAGTTGTTTTTTTTATCTATTCATTGTCATCGATTAGACATTGAATTTTTTTCAATGAAATTAGAGTACTGTTTACTGACAAAATTAAAAAAATAACTCTTATAACTTTCAGATAGTAATTAATAATCAATCATGTGCTCACTAATGATTTTGATGTTGGAAGATAATTTTAGAAGTTTTTTGTGAGAAGCCCATGATCAGTGGAATTCAGTCATGCTAAGTGTTAGGCAGCTGCTACCCATCAAGTACATAGAGAGATTAGTCGAATTTAAACATGTAAACAGCCTCTAAACGGTTATTTAGAGGCTGAGCGGTCGACAACGAGACTGAATGTCCTGGATTCCATCATTACGAGTTTAGAAGTCTCATACTAGGAGGAAACAACTGTACAGTGCTTCCAAGTTTTTATGGATCATTTAACAAAAATTGGTTCTTAATGTTAATGATAAAATTCAAAGATTTCCAAAAAAAACCCTTAAAGTATGGTTTGAGTAGATTGAAATACTAAGCAATTTTGTTTTTGAACAATTACTGTCAATTTCTGATAATTTTCGGGTATTTTTTTTTTATTACCTCGTTTAATTTGTTTGATGTATTCATTTTTTTTTAAATTAGGCGCTTATAAAGAAGTTGAATGTTCAGCAAAAAATAAAGAAAATGTACGTCAAGTATTTGAAATCGCTACAAAGGCATGTTTAACAGTACGACGGAAACATAAAAAATGTTATCAATTATTTTGAACTTTGTTGTTCTTCTTGTTCTTCCCCTTCTTGTTCCTCATTTCTCTTGTATTTTCTAAAAATGATATCATAATATTATTATTTAACTGGAATTAACTGTATGGTATTTTTGATTAGTGAATATTGTTAAAGTGTGGGTTTTTCACTTACAAGGTGATGGATAAATGATTGAGAACAAACGATACATTCCTACTTCTCATCTCTGAATAATTTTATTCAGTTAACACTGATGATACTTCTGCTATTGTTAGCTTTAGCTTGTTACTTCGCTGTGTAATCATGTTCTTCTTTTTCTGCTTCTTTTTCTTTTATGAAATTGTTCTGTTCAAAGAAAATTGATCTTTGCTTTTTACGCACAACTAATGTCAATAAACAATTAAATAGGTAGATAAGAACTGTTTGTTTGTTTGTATGTGTGTGCGCATGCATTACCCACTTAATGATAATCATTTGTATATCTTGTTTCAACGTTTGTGGTTCTTAAAATTGAACAATAATTTGTATAATGAGAAATTTTCAACTGTTCATTACATGTGTGTGTGTGCTCACGTGTACGATTATTTAGAATTTTCAAAGAAACAGGTGTCTTATGTTGATTTTTTTTCGAAGTTTATGTTTCCTGCCAAGATATTACTATTCGTTTATGATCCGTAGCTGAAATAAAATAAGAGATGAGAAGTGATTCAGGATAAGAAAATTGAGATGGTCTACTAATGGCTTATTACATGTGATGAACCATTTAGTCATACCCATATGATTTTTCAAGGAAAAAGGATTTGAGTAAAATAAGCTTTTAAAGTTGATTGTTACTTACTTGCGTCGATTGCAGCTCGTGCAGTATAGACCGCCGACCAGGATTGTCCATCCAAATCTGGCGTAGACTTCTTTTCAGTTGTTGCCGGGTGCTACTCATCCTTTTGACATCTACCTCCGGTTCTTAGTGTAATGTGTCCTTTGGTCCTCGTTTTGTATTTTGCTTTAAGGATTGTAGGTTAGGATTCGCTTTGAGACGCAGTTTGGTGATTTCCGCGATGTCCTATGATGGTGTATACTACTCGCAAAGTGGCTTACAAATAGTGTGTAGAGGTATGTCACCTTGAAGTTACTGCTGAGAAGAGTGTCGGATCCGGATGTATCACACGATCAAAGCATTTTGAATACTATGAAATATGCGAAAGAAGACAGCCAATAATTGGCTGTTTTGCAAGTGGAGTTCTGAAGATAATGTGTACACATTTTGTTAGTATACTGTGTCATCCAACTGATCCTAACGTCTTTGTTCATTATACTATCCACTTCAAGCATTATTTCATAACTCCTTGCATAGCTAGAAGCTGATTTGTTCTCGGCCACAACAGGTTACTGCTGGTGGTGTCTGACTAGCGGATCGGAAGTGTCTTGTGTAGAAAATGTCATCAATACCTGTACCTTTTTGATTAAAGTCTCAGTAGTTCTTCAAGATTCAGCCTTATACAATAGAACTGTCTAGACGTTTGCATTGAAACTTTTGACTTTTGTGTTTGCTGACAGCTGCTTTGAGTTACATTAAGAATACTTCCCTTGCGTTATCAATCCGTGCCTTCACGTCTGCCTCAGATCCCCTCTCTTATCATAAATTCTAACCAGGTACGTTAAATTTCGTACGTTTTCCAGATTTGGATTTAGTTGTTGTATTTTAGGGTCTCGGTTTTTTCCTCCTGTGTGTTGAAACTTAGTGCTGCAGAGGCTGCCTTTACACTGACCATCTTCATCTGAACTTGTTACTGTTTGTGAGATAGAAGCACCTTCCAGAAGCCCTAGGCCATGAGTAACTATAGATACCCTCATCTTTCCGTACACAAACTAACCTTGGAGTAAAGCGTTTGTAGCGGTAGATTTTAAATATAATTTCCAAACTTCGAATACTGCTCGTCTTGATAATTGTGACCAGATAACACCCAGCAGTATACAGTTCAGAAGACGAATACGAAGCGTTGTTGATGTTTATGTTTGCCCAACCGATCACAAAGCCATAGGCATATGACGCGAGAATGAAATGAAATGCGAATACCGAGGAGCATCTGAATAGAATTAAAATTTACACATACAGAAAGATGAGTGAGTCATTGAATTATTTAAGTGAATAACATTAATGCTAATAGAATATATGCATAGGCTGTAACCAATCCTAAAGCATACACGTTCACACAAGCGTAACAGTAATAAAAATACAAAGGTTGTAGCTTTTTGAATGACTCTATCTGTCAAATAAGTTGATAAAACGGCTTAAAAAAATTCAATTATATATGAGGTCCATACATTCATTTCGTACTTCGCACCTTTTATCTGGTATTCAAGCCGCTGTGTGGATTTAATCTGCGGTTATTAAGAGCGTATGGGAATTCAAATCTTGCGTTCATTTAGCAGACTTATCAGTAGTTAAAACTCTAGACGTAAATTCCTATTTATCAAAATCTATCCTATTGATGCAATCCATATTTGTCTGTTGTTCAAATGAACATAAAAACGTTTGAATATAAAACTACGTAAATCATTGATGTTATGTCTATCACATGAACCAATATCTAGACAACTGTTGAGTAACCAATATACAACAAGGACAAGAGACTTGTTTCTCTGTGCTCGAACGATAATCCAATCGTAACTTGTCCAACCGAATCGGAAGAACAAAGACCATTGATCACCAGTCCAAGATCCGTTACTATTTATCGGATATTCCTTTACATTCATACAAAACCAGACTACATCTCACCAATAAATGGAAATTAACAACCATACACGGGTGATTCAAAAGTAGCTGTGAATAGGAAAGGTTAGGTTATTCATAATAAACTGTCAACAAAAATATGAACATTAAATCATATGATTATAATTTATGGCTTAATAGAAAGCTTATGATAAAAGGTTAGTTTAATTGATTAATACTTATAAAATTAAATTATGTACATCAATAGTCCATATATTGGTTGCATAAGTTCCTGTTTACTTCATCCAGATATAACAATTTAAAAGCGAATTAATTAATTTGAGTATTCATCAATGACAAATTATCATTGACAAGAAGATCTTTAATCTGTACATGACCTAAATTTGTCATAAAAAGAGTTGTTCCGATCATTTGAACTGAATTACTAACTAATAGCAATCTTATTATTTCAGGATACTTATCGAGTTGAAAGTCCTGTTCACCATAATTGTCATATATTTATTTTCCAAAATATATCTATTTTCGATTATTTATGGACGACATAAAATAATGTTATTATTAAACTTTCTTAACTAAAGTCAACTTATTTAAGATGGATAAAATATTCTTTTGATCTGAGTAGTAACTAATACTAACTAACCTGGAGTAAATGACAGGTGCTAAATAAAGTTTAATGAAAGCTAGGTCACAGAGTTAATTCTGTATAAACAATAATTGAATAATTATTTAATAATAAAACAAATTCTTGATTAAACAAAAGAAAATTCAACGTTGAACATTGACAGTTTGACTTATTTAAGTAAGTATTGGTTTGTTGGATCTTTTCATTGATGTTATAAACTACAAGTGTTCAGTTTATTTTGGTTTATACGTGAATTGCCTTGATATTTATATTTGATACTCATTCAGCTATAATAATAAGTTGTTGTATAAATAATCAAGTTATTAACACAGTAAACTTATTTCAAAACAATATAAATTTGAGTATTTCAGTATTCGCCGATGATGAATGGGAAGTTACTTATTCTGCTGTTTCAGAAACGTAAAACAAAAGCACACTTTTTAACTCTAACGTTAAAATTACCACTTCAGTCAGTCAGTAACAACGTGAAACTTGGTACGTACGTACATCAGTTTAAGTTGCCAAACCAAATTAGTACACAGAGATGAAATTGTCAGTTCACATCCCATAGTGGCAAAGGTACCAGAAGTATTAACGGTAATCATAAAGATTAGAAATCGAAAATATCATTCGAGAGGTATATCCCAGTGAAATAAATTTAAAGAAGAGGAATTCGGATACGAATTTTGGGAAAGCCAAAGAATGGATGAATTTTCTCGATTGTAAATTAGTTTGATCCATGTCAATCGAAGTCTTAAACCACTGTTTACGATTATCTCACGGGCTCCAACCAGGTAGTCTACATCTACTAATATGGCTCAGTCCAGTTGTCAGTGACTCCATGGATTTATAATATGTTTTGGTTTGGTTGTCTCCAGCTTTCTTCTGGCTAACCTCTACACCAGACAACGTCGCTCGTCGGTGCAATCAGTCGTTAGGTATACGTAACACATGTCCCAATCATCTCAACTGATGAAGATTTACCACTTCCTTAATTGATTTGCCATTCTTACCTAGTGTCCTTCTCCTACCAACAGCATTACTTACTCGATGGTCCCAGGATATACGAGCAGTGCTTCGAAAACACCTATGATCAAATACTACTAACCTACGAATATCTTCTATTCTTACTGGCCACGTTGCACACTTAATCAGTCAAAATGTTAGATTTGTTATTGTTGTTTGCAGTTAATGGTAGCTAATTAACTACTATTATACTATTTTTGGATTGTTTCAACTATCATCATTATTATGTGGATTAGATTTTGTTGGATACTGATGTAAGATTAGGTTGTGGATTATCAAATTCTTCAAATATTTGCAGATAACTTTCTTTGATAGTATAAAAAAACTTTTAAAATCCTTTTAAACATTTTTCTTGATTTTCGAGGTTTCATTAGATGATTTCTGACTTTATAGCTCTTGTCTTTTTGCTTGAATAATTTGTGATGTTATTCATGGAGTAAAAAAAACTGGTCTCCGTAATGATCAATGTCAGTCAGAAAATAGGTGAAATCTGTAAGCTGTTGTACTGTTGTTTCGTCGTTCATTAGGAGCACACGGCTTATTCACAACTTTGAGGAATTTTACACATAAACCTTGAGCTCATTGTCTGTATCTTCTTTAGATTTGAGGAGATTATCTAAGTTTAAAATTATTTCATTTAATGCTTGTACACATCGTACTGCAGGTTATTCTGTTTGGTACAAATAACATGCAGGTTTAATGAAATACCATAGGGTTCAAGATTAGAAACATATATACACATATATATCATCGGTTGATGACGAATATATTATTAGTGTTACAATAGTGTTAGTGAATTACTGCAAGCAAGCCATTTTTAACCATTAACTTGATTTCAGTCAAACTGAATGAGTCAAAAACATGCATTTGTGTACGACTGTGGTGCGGTTTTGTCGGTTTGTTTGATTGAACAAATGATTTATAAATGAACTCAAGGAAAATGAACTAGAGAATCTACAGTGAAAATATTTTCAGTGATTATGGATCTTTTTGTTTACTTTCTAATTTCTTGTTACTTTCTACTTGATAAGATGAATCAGGAATGACTATGCCTTACATTGATTGAATGTGAACTTGCCCTATTTAAGTAAAATATCATACCAACAGACCATTTGCATTTACTTGAAGAAGTGGATTGTTATACTTAATCATTTGGTTATATTGAATGGTTTTCACTCAAGAACACAATGCAAATCCGATTATTTAGAAAAATCATTCACCTACCAAGTAATCGTATTTTCTTTATGACCTTTAATTTGTTAATTTTATGCAATATGAAGAGTAAAGTTAATGTGCAAACTGTATTCCTC